CTCATCCCTCGCCCCGAAACCCCCGCGCCAACCAGGGCTGGGAGGAGCTGGCCAAGGCACGACTGGGGGAATTGGGGGTGCTGGAGTTGTTGAAGGAGGAAGGGGGGGCAGTGGGGAGGTGAGGGGGAGGGTTTTGGAGGTGGGGGAGGTGGACCCGTGCCTCAGTTTCCCTTGCTGAGAGCAAGGCTGAGGTTTGGGGGGGCATTAATTGATCCGTGCCTGAGTTTCACTAGTTGGGAGCTGATTTGGGGCACCTTTAGGAGGGGGAGGATGGGTCTGTGCCCCAGTTTCTCCCTCCAGGAGCAACCCTGGGGTCTCATTTTGAGGGAGAGGATGGGTCTGTGCCTCAGTTTCCCCTGCTGAGAGCAAAGCAGGGTCCTGTTTGCGGGGTTGAGGGACTGACTCCTTCCCCTTCCCCATGGCTCAGTTTCCCCTTGCTGTGGGGCAGACCCTACCCCAAGGGCTAATTCTGCCAAGGACTCAGCCGTCAGCCTCCAGTCTCCCCAGTTTAACCAGTTTAACACTAAACAGGCTCTCGGGGAAGGTAAGGTGCTGCATTCCATGGAGGGTGCTGACTGTGACATTCCCCCCCCCCCAGCCCTGTGCCTCAATGTCGTCTGCGAGGTGCCTGGGAGTCCCGGGCTTGGTCCCCACCGAGCTTTGGGGCTTGACTCACCCTTTTATTTCCCATAAAATCTCCCATTCGGTGTTTTTTGGGGTTTTTTTAAGCTATTTAACCCAAGGAGACAGTGGCCCTGCTTGCTGAGGCATAGGTGCATCCCTGGGCTGGAGTGACAGGGGGTGGGGACACAGGGTGTTAAGGGGCTCCCTGGGGTGGTCTGTTTATGTCCCTGTGCCTCAGTTTCCCCTGCCAGCAATAAACACTGCATCCTGCAGGGCTGTGGGCTCTTTGTTGTCTTTTGGGTGCTGCCCCTGTGGGTGGGGGTCACCTGCTCCTGGGTGGTCCTTGCTGTGGTCCCCTGGCCCCAAGGCACCGAAGGATTTGGGGGTGCAGGATGGGGGTACACCTTGTTTTAGGGGTGCAGGTGGGGGGTATAACCCCTCCTGATCCCCAAAGACTGACTTAGCCAACGTGGGGCGTTTTGGGTGTGCTCCCAGGGCTTGCCCCAGACACCCCTCCACAGTCCCCATGCCCGCCCCCCCCCAAAGCTGGCAGAGGACCCAGGCATCCATGGAGAGGTTGGGAGTGGCAGGCGGGGTGCTGAATTTCTGGTCCCCCCTCTGTGAGGGGACTGTCCCCTGCCTGCCACCAGCCATCCTGGCTGTGACTAATGACAATGTGTATTAATCTGGCCATTAATGAATCAGCATTGTTAAGGTCAAAGGCCATTACCTGCCCCGAGACCTGGCACCTCGGGGGCAGGGGACGCACGGGGGCTCAGAGCAGGGACAGAGATGGTTTAGAAGGGGCAGCCCCCATGTGGTCCCATGTCAAGGTGAGGTCTGGGGCATCAAACCCTCCCAGTATATGAAACCCCCCATCCTGTGCCCCCCAACCAGCACCTCACACCCCACGAGCTGCCCTGCCCTGGGCCTCACCCCACAGTCCCCCCCAAAACCCCACAGTGTGGTAGCTCCTGCCCTGGAGCACCCAGTACCCC